TTTTTTTTCTTAGACTTTATTTTTTAATGAAATGAAAAAGCTAAACTTTAAAATCCACCAATGAATTATTATCAAGATCTATGGCCCTTGGGGATTCTTGTCTTTCACCCATCTGACCATGTTTTAAGAGACTCCAGAGTTGTTATGTATGTATATATGTAATGCATATATATATATATTTTTTTTTCTCTTACAGGGAAACCCTGTCACTCGTCTTACCAAAATGAACCAAGCAGCAGAGCTGTACTTAATTCAAATTATTGAAAAGGAATCCTTGGTCGGCATGGTCACATTTGACAGCAGTGCGACAATTCAGAATAATCTAATAAGAATGGTCAATGAGAGCTCCCATCTAGAGATCAGCACAAAGCTGCCTCAGAAAGCTGATGGGGGAACTTCAATTTGCAGGGGACTCAGAGGAGGATTCAAGGTTAAAACAGAAAATTAATCACTATCACCTGCCGATGGCTACTTTTAACTTTCAGCAAGGACCATGAGTTCCTGGGCTCCTCATTTAATAACATTCTGATCAAAACAAATCATCTGCAAAAAGAAAACAACAGCCTTTCGGCTCTCTGGGTCCCCTCTGTGTCCTGCTGTCACCTGATGTAAAGTGGAAGAGCTAAGTGGCACTGGGGAGTGGCCATGGGAGGGGAAAATCAGTAACCCAGTAGTTATCAAGATCTTATTGGGGAGTCTCCTGGCACCCCAGTTGCCTGCATTTCTGAACAGGAAATAGCACCATTGGGGAAAGTGTGAAAGAGGGAACACTGGAAACATTTCATGTTGTGAGTAAGGAAATCCCTGTCTCATCAAATTAAGTGCTCCTCAGACAGCAAACGACCAAGCACAAAGAACAAGGGTGGAAGTTTAAAGATGCTAAAATTGTAAAGTAAAAGTTAGGAACACTGTTGAGAACTGTAGCCAACTGTATATTAATAAATCTTCATATTCATGTATTCAGACCAAAGCTAGCCTCCACTTAAGGGCATTTACCATCAAATGTTAAATAACGCAACAGCAAGCCACTTCCTTCACTAATCTCCTTGTCTCAGAGTGGTCGCTGCCACTCAGAACAGGTTGGCTCTAAACTCAGTAACGGAACAGCAAGCCACTTCCTTCACTAATCTTGTCTCAGAGTGGTCGCTGCCACTCAGAACAGGTTGGCTCTAAACTCAAGTGATCCCAGATGCTCTCAATGTTTTTGCAGTAACTCAACCCAAAAAGTCAGTTTTCTCAACTCAGGTCTGAAGGCACAACTTGGCACCAGCTTTCCCTGGGGAGCCCATCCGGCCATCCCCACTCTCCCAGCTGAGCTCCCACAATGGAGCCTTCCAGACTGACTGGGTTACTTGCCTATCCCCAAGTACTTCCTAGGATGACAATAACAGCGGCTACTATTTACTCATTACATATTAGGACTTCTGTGACTCATGCTTGCAGCTGTGAGTAGTGGGAGTACACACTTAGAAAACGAGGCGAATGAAGACCCCAGATTTCAAAACCTATACATAACACTTAGCTCTATATGCCACTCAGCTTGTACTCACAATGCAAAAGTTCCCCTTTGCTCACTCTTGAGACAGAAGCCTAAGGACTCCTTGAGGACTAAAACACAGTTTATTCTTACTTTTCATTTATTCAGAATCATTTTTCTGTGATTAGTAACGTGGCTTTTCCCACTCAGGCAATCACCTCCAGTAACCAGAGAACTTCGGGCTCTGAGATCGTGTTGCTGACAGATGGGGAAGATGGGCAAATAGGTTCATGCTTTGAGGAGGTCAGACACAGTGGTGCCATCATCCACACCATCGCCCTGGGGCCTGATGCTGACAGGGAACTGAAGACTCTGTCAACCATGACAGGTACAACTTCAGAGCAGAGTTTGGACAGACAATCATCTGTAGTCTGTCCTGCCGCCCAGTTCTTTCTCCATAAACGGAAAACTGCTCAGAAAATTCCCTGTCTCAAATTCAGTCTTGGCTTCTTCACACTGAAGTTTTTTCTCCCCTCGGCTCTTCCACTTGCGAACTTCTCATTTATTCACTATCTGTTGTCTTCATTCGTTCCTCTAGTTTCAACCAACACCAACAATCAGAACAATGCTCATTGCTCTATGGTTTCTCAGCTGCACCAGAAACTATTTCTCAGTTTAAAAACACAATCAACCACACAGAAAATGTTTGGGCATCCCAGTTTTATGGAAGAGCAAATGGAAATCTAGAGGATATAAATAATTTGCCTAACAGTCCTGACTTCCCATTCAGAACTCATTCCATCAGGGGGTGTTTCTGTCAGGTACTAAGGCAGCCTAAGCCTGTGTGGGCAACTTCAGTAACATCCCAGATGGGCTTCCTGACATTTATCAGTTCCATAAGTATGTAATGAATATCATATTTTAGGCAATCATTTCTCCTCTGTAACCCATTCTTTTCTAGCTTCTTACATGCATGTAATCGCCCTCTTCCTTTAATGTCTCCGTTATCTATTTTCATCAATTTTTATTCCCTTCTAAACAGTCAATATTTAATTATCACTGATGCGGTTTTGATCCAACTAGAAAATAAGCCGTTACCTTCTAAGAACTGGCTTAAATTTCACTTCCGTATTGTTACATTGTGTTCAGGCTTCACTAAAATAGCAAGCCCTTCCTTTTGGTGACTGATAGTCAATCAAAAACAATTTTAACTCCTTAATTTCCCCCTTTGTTCTTATTGCACTTATTTTGAGAAAGGTTTAAGTAATTTTAGAATTCTACTAGAGACACTGCAATGCTGAGGAAAGTATAACTAAATGTCTTAAATAGATTGCTAAATAAATCAATGACAGCACAAAGTAAATGGGGTTTTCCCTCTTAAAATCCCCCTTTAGGAGGGCTTCACTTTTATGCCGGTAAAGACATAAATGGCCTTATTGATGCTTTCAGTGGGATTTCATCTAGAAGTGGCGACATCTCTCAGCAGGCTCTGCAGGTCAGCAAACCCCTTTGTCTGCTCACTGTTGCAATAAGCTCCCATTATCCTAATTGTTAACTTCTCTCTAACAAATAACTCTCCCTTAAAAGTTGTTCTGTGGTATAGAGGAAGCATTTCCCTACTGAATTTAGTTTCCTGTGGCTTACACACACCTCATCTCCTGCAGCCTTTTATTCTTTATCATATTATTTGTACTCTTTATAATTTTTATAAATTTTAATTTAATAATTTATTCCTTACCTATTATTTTACTGAAAAAATCTTTAATTGTTTTAATTGAAATATTTTTAGGAATCCAAAAATTACACTGAACAAACTACACTTTCAAATATGGGTTTTTGCATGTCTATTTTTTTATTTCTGTAACAGTTGGAGAGCAAAGCCTTGAATATTACAGGGAAGGGATTGGTAAAGGGTACAGTGCTGGTGGATAGTACTGTTGGCAATGATACCTTCTTTGTTGTCACCTGGATGACACAAAAGCCAGAAATTACTCTTCAAAATCCTAAAGGAAAAAAATACACTACCTCAGATTTCCAAGACGATAAGCTGAATATCCGCTCTATTCGACTTCGAATACCAGGCATTGCAGAAGTAAGTCTACTCTTTGGTTTCTATCAATTAATCAATTTATGTTAGAAAATAAAGGCCTCTTCTATTTTCTCAGTACTAAAAATGTAACAGATAATTCATCTTAAAATCAGCTTAATAGAACACATAAGAATTCATACCCATGTTATTAGTTGATAATCAGATATTAAAATCATTATTTAGTCTGGGACAGTATCAGAGTAGGACCCTACTATGGCTTGCCATCATCAGAGAAGTAATTCTTCTTCTTCTTTTTACATTTCTGGGAAATTATATATCCTAAGCACAGAGTAAGAAAATGCTATCAAATCTCTTAAAATATATTTTTCCCAGACAGGTACTTGGACTTACAGCCTTTCAAATAAGAATGCCAGATCTCAGTTGCTGACGCTGACAGTGACCACTAGAGCAAGAAGTCCTACCATGCTCCCAGTAATAGCAACTGCTCACATGAGTCAAAACACAGCACAGTACCCCAGCCCAATGATTGTTTATGCACGAGTCAGCCAGGGGTTCTTGCCTGTTCTGGGAGCCAATGTCACGGCTGTTATAGAAGCTGAAGACGGACATAGAGTCACACTGGAGCTCTGGGACAACGGGGCAGGTAATGGGAGCCTGCATCGACACCACTGAACTTAACGTTCCCTCGCTGAACTCTCTACCTCAATACTTCCTCTGTATGCTTAAGAACTGTATTCCAAAGTGAATGTGTTGGTTGCTACATGTTAACCCTCTGCACAGCTCTAAGAACCATTGCCGTCTTTAAAGTTCATGAGCAACGTTACTTTCACCAGGGAAGGAACGTGAGGACAATCTTTCTCCATCCCCACTGTCAGTGTTTTAATGCACTTTATTTTCTTTATATTTTGTTATTTTGATAAGTTTCTTGTATGAAGAAAGGCAATCATTAATCAAACGTGTACCACAAAAGGACTGAGCACCTACTATGAGTTGCTCCAAAACCACAGGGCTTATGACCAAGCCAAGCTTCAAAGCAAAGTGGTGTGACCCTAGAATTCATGCAGTTGAAACTGGGCCACTTTATCTGTGAAATCACTGACATCACCTGTCCTCACAGTCACAGCTGTCATTTTTCTTACTAGATGACTAATTCTTACATTTCAATGCCAAGGTGCTGATACACTCAAAAATGATGGCATCTACTCAAGATATTTTACAGAGTACCATGGGAATGGGAGATACAGCTTAAAAGTCAATGCCCAGTCAAGAAAAAACACCACTAAACTAAATTTAAAACAACCAAACAAGTCTCTCTATGTGCCTGGCTACATCGAAAATGGTAAGTAACATTGAAACAGAAATATGTATGGTTTAGCTCTAATGAATACATCAAACATCAAAAACATAATAGACTACAGAAAATCTAGGCATATAATTCCTTGTAATCATCTGAATGTATCAAAATCAAATTCAGGTCAGTGGATCCCTAGACTATATTTCTGCACACATTGTTAATACCCCCTCCAGTCATTCTGTTTACGTTTATAAATCTCACTCAGCATCTTCTATGATGCAGTCTCTGTGCTAGATGCCGAAGCTGTAAATGTGGACAAAACACAACTCATGTCCTCAAAAGATTTACAAGCCAGTATTAGAGAGACGTTAAAACATAGTGTTCTCTTGTCTATTTAAAAATGATGTTAATAGCCGGGCATTGGTGGTGCATGCCTTTAATCCCAGCACTCGGGAGGCAGAGGCAGGTGGATGTCTGTGAGTTCGAGACCAGCCCTGGTCTACAAGAGCTACTTCCAGGACAGCCTCCAAAGCCACAGAGAAACCAAAAAATAAAAAAATAAATAAATATGATGTTAAAACAAGCTCTTCTGTCACTAATCGTCACTTTTCAGTATCTGCTGTTAATTGACATTAGCACTGAATAGATGCAGGATCAGCCTACAAGAACCGACATGAAAACATAAAAAGTTACTTTTTTTATGGGGATGTAGATCAAATTATACTGAATCCACCCAGACCTGAGGTTCCAGAAGCCACAGAAGCTTCAGTGAAAGACTTCAACAGGCTAACCTCTGGAGAGTCATTTACCGTGTCGGGCGCGCCTACTGGTGGTGACCACGCTCATGTGTTCCCACCCAGTAAAGTCACCGATCTGGAGGCTGAGTTTAAAGGAGATTACATTCACCTGACATGGACAGCCCCTGGCAAGGTCCTCGACAAAGGAAGAGGTAAGTTTGATATTGAGTTTTAAAATGTTCTAAAAGAAAGCCCACTATCTTTTATTTGCTAAAACTTCTCCAAAGTCTTATTTATGGGTAACATTTATGGAATGGCTACAATAGTCCTTTCATCCTTCACCTACTATGAAATATAAAAACTTAAAGCACAACAGAAACAAGTTGACCCAAATTATCTGTGCTCAAATAATTGAAATTCCAATCCAGTTTTTTTTCAAATACTTCTATCAAATTGTCTCTCTCAATTTGGACTATTTTTAAATTAAATGAGAAGACTAAGTAACACCATTCTGTTGGGTTCTATTATTGTAAACAAGGGTAATTTTCTAAACATTTCTGTCTTTCCTCAATTTTACTCACTTACTGTCTGGTTTCAAGCACTATTGGGTTCTCTGGAACCAAGTCTAATCTTAGAAATCAATTAAGTAAAAAATACACGTAGGTAAACCGATAACTCCAGATAAATAGATGATAGATAGATAGATAGAGATGATACATGGTTAGAGATAGATTAGAATAATAGAAATAGACTATAGATATAGAGATAAATGATAGTTGGATAGATATAGGTATGTTAGAATGATTGAAATAGATAGATAGATAGATAGATAGATAGATGATAATCGGATGATACAGATAGATTAGAGTATTAGAAATAGATGATAGACAATAGAGAAATAGATAATAGATAGATAGATATAGATAGATAGATAGATACAGATGATACATGGTTAGAGATAGATTAGAATAATAGAAATAGACTATAAATGACAGAGATAGATCATAGATGGATGATACAGATAGATTAGAATAATGGAAATAGATGATAGACAATAGAGAAATAGATGATTGATAGATAGATAGATAGATAGATAGATAGATAGATAGATAGATGTGATAGATGATACATAGAGATAGATTATGATAGAGATAGATAGATAGATAGATAGATAGATAGATAGATAGATAGATCCACCTAAATTAAAAACAAGGTTTGTATGAAGAATGGTTGAATGTATAAGACTTATTAATGGAGAAACTAAATGTTAATCAAACTTAACTAGTGTTTGAAAAAATCCAAGTTAATTACCATATATTTTAAGTATCTCTTACATTGCCAAAAAACATAAAAAATAAATTATGAATACCAAGTAAAGGCTACAAATATTTTATTCTCACAATCCATAAGCTATTTTATGTCCATTTCTCTGTTAGATTTCCCAAATCAGTGTGGAATTCACTGCTCCTGCGGACATCCCCCTTTCCCTTCCAGCAGCTAACATTGCAGTCACCCATTAATTGCTCAATTGTCCTAAACACTTTTCATGCTTCATCGTTTACAAATCTCACTTCAGAATATCGGCAGTCAAAAACTTTTTGTTAAATTAGTCAAATGACTAGGCCTCTTTTTAAAACAGAGATGAGAAAGATGACAGTAATAGAATTAAGGTGTCGGTCAGGGTGAGACTAGGTCCCGAGCACGTGTGGAATCAGTGCTCATCCGGTTCTGTGCCCTTGGACTCACCCTCAGCTGTTTTCCTCTGACTGTCACTGAGGGCCCCACCCCAACCCTGGAGTGTTATCTTAATAAAAAGTCACAGAAGATACTCTCGGTCTTCACTGTACATAAATATTGTGTGTTCCTTGTTACATTTTAAAACTGAGTTCAGCTCTTTCAACAAAGAATCCTGGATTCTGGCTAGAGGCTGGTATTGATGAGGCTGAATTAGCTTTTCTGTGACTTTGTGACTGGACATTTTTAAAAAACAAATGTTCATATACTGTCTTTAAAGTCAGTGAGACAGGATAACCAGACACAAACTGTACCGGGCTCTCCATCACTGAAGCTCCTCATGATGCTCTGGTAACCCCTACTCAGGCGCAGTGTGTGCAGAGACCCGTCCTCACTCTAATGAACACGTGTCTGTCTCTTTTCCAGCACATAGATACGTCATCAGAATGAGTTGGCATTCTCAAGATCTCCAAGAAGATTTTCACAATGCTACTTTAGTGAATACTTCTAGTCTGGTACCTAAAGAGGCTGGGTCAAAAGAAAACTTTGAATTCAAACCAGAAACTTTGAAAATAGAAAATGGTACCAAGCTCTACATTGCAGTTCAGGCCACCAATAAAATCAACCTCACTTCAGCGATCTCCAACATCGCACAGGCTGTCAGGTTTATTCCTCCACAGGAACCCAACATCCCTGATTTGGGTACAAAAATGCTCTCACCCAGTTTGACAGTTTTTGTATTTGTTGCAACTTTACTTATATTTTAAACTAGAAATTGTAGTAGAACTAAAAAAATCAATGTTATTTAGAATTAATTTACTATCCTCATTGTCTACTATACAAATCTTGTAACATAAAAGTGAATGTTGTAAATTTTTTATTTGTGTCAATTAAAATCAATTAAGTTGTTATATATAAACCAGAGTATTTCCTTACTCCAACATTGAAGAGGATGAATGAAATTGAACAACTCATTTTCCAAATATTAATATCAAAAAGCGATTCACTAAATATGTAATTTTGTAGAAATAAATGCACAAAGTGACAATATAAAGCTCAGAAAGAGAAAATGATGTCTGTAAATCAGAAAAAAAAAACAAGAAAGAAAGAAACATAGGCTGATTTCCATAGAGCATTGGGAAACTAACAGTATCCAGACAAAAAAAAAAAAGCAGTATTCTGTAGGCAATGCACACATATGGGAGAATCCAAATAGGAAAAGTCCTCCAACTTAAAAGGTAAAGTTTAAAACCAATCTTTAAAATGAAAGAAATATCTAGATAGTCTTGGGATTATAAAGATATAATCTTTATTTTAGGGAAAAACCTGGCTAGATATGGGGTACATGACTGTGATCTCAGCAACTAGGGATCAAGGTAGGAGGATCATAAGTTAGCCTAAGCTACACAGTCCAGTTTTGGGCTAGCCTAAACTACACAGCCCAGTATGCAAGATCCTGTCTCCAAAAGGAAAACTTTTAAAATCTGCTAAGGCTTTATTAAATGTTCTCTGCTTTTTTAATTAAAAAGAAAAAAGAAAAACATGCAAAATACATAAGTAGGCAAATTGCTTTGTCGTATTAATCTCTTTTCTGTTACCCAACAGAGCTCTTGAGAATGGGTAACATATAAAGGGAAGTGGTTGTGGAGATTGAGAAGCTGAGATAGGAAGGCAGCCTCTGGCAAGGGACCCAAGGACAAGCATGAGCCTGTGGAGAAGCAGAAGATGAGAAACACACTTGTGTGAAAGTCTGGCTTCACAGGGTCTAATTCATTACTGTAAGAATGGCTCCAGGAAAAGGCTTTGTCATCACAGCACAATCACTTCTCAGCATAATGTCAAGATGGGTTTTAGAGAAAACAAGCCATATCCAAGCCATACCAGAAGCCTAGTGGTAGATGAGTATTGTCTAATATTTAAAAAGACAGAGCCTTTTTCTCATACAAAATCTATCAAAGCAGTCCTCATTCTCTTGAATCTTTGGCTGAGAACTACTGTTGAGATGGAAATGAAACCAACTACTCTCAAATGATTTTCGAGGTTACTGTTCCCCAGTTGTCCTTTTGAAACATACCGTGTGTCATACATCATTTTCAGATAGACTGGCATCTCAGGCATGATGACACAAGCCTTTAATGCCAGCCCTCGGGAGGCTGAAGCAGGCAGATCTCTGCTGAGCTCCAGGACAGTCAAGACTACTTAGTGAGACCCTGTCTTGAAGAAAACATTAAACGGAAGCTGAATGACCTGAGATGAAACCCAGGTTTGCCCTGTCTGCAGCTGTAATGTAGGACATATTCCCTCCCTAGGGCTTCAGTTTCCTTCACCCCAAAGGCTTCTTCCTGGTGATCTTCCCATTGAGAAATTGTTCTCTGACTCTTGGTTCACTATTGCTGTGCTATAACTCTCTACAGAACTTTCTCACTCTATTTTATATTCTGAATATTATTTTATTCCAATTTAACCCATGAAGTAAATCTTCATGTCCTATAGAGGCAATGTCTACACTGACTCCATTCTGTCCTCGTACAGAATGCTGGAAAGGGGAACAGATCACAGAAAATCAAACTCATTGTCTTCCGTGTGGGTGAACAGCACCAAGATTTACTGGTGTTTGGGGGACACATGCTGTCACAATGCTCTTTTTTTCCTTTTCATTCCTTCATTTAGCTATTTATTTTCTATGTTGGTTTTGGCTGTTGGTTTTTGTTTTGTTTTGTTTTGTTTTTTAGATCTCACTACATACATCATCCAGCAGTATAGACCCCAAATGCTTCACAGTTTATTTTATTTAACTTTCACAACATTCTGTTTAGAAAGATACTCTTGGCCTCCTTTTACAGCTAAAGAAATTGAGAATGAGAGAGGTTAATGAGTGAGTGCGGGGGAGGGGGATTTTCTTGCCAGTAATGGAGTGTTTCAACTATTCAGTCGATATGTTATGTTTGTTCAAATTAGCCCAAGATAAACAGGTGGGGTGCAATAACAGTGACTCGAGCAGACTGAAGAATGAAGATGATGTGGGAAGATTTTACAGATGAGGCTTTACCAAGCCTGGGCTGGCAAATGTGGGGCACTCCCAGCAGCTGAAGATAGGAACAGAAAACACTGTGGTTTCCCTGCAGTAGCTGGCCTTTCCCATATTCTCAGGAAGGCTCGGGGACTTTCCATTCCCCGAGTACACCGGGAAGACTCCATCTACAGTTTTACAGAAGACAGCCATGGAAACAATTTTAAATTAGCAAACATTTTGTGCCAACATTCACACTTACAATAGCATATGATATTTAATAATGATGTATAACACCTATTTGAGGTTTTTTAAGTGTCAAAATCCTTCTTGAAGGATTTTTCCTAGGTTATCTCATTTAATAGTTCCAATACTCCATAACAGGTCTTTCACAGAGAAAATTAATGTCTCCGTTCCAGACAGAGAATGGATTTCCCTTTCTCAGCATTTTTAAAAATTTCCTTTTATTACTTTTAATTATGTGCATGTGTGTATGTCTGTGTGGGATTGTGTGCATATGTGTTCAGCTTCCCACAGAAGTCAGAGGCATTGGATTCCCTGGATGGCAGTGTCCGACATGTATACTGGGAACTGAACTCAAGTCCTCTGCAAGAGTGGTATATGCTCTTAACCGCCGAGCCATCACTCCGGTCCATTTTCTCTGCAGTTTTGCTCGTCATGGGTTCTCCAGACATGATGAGGGAAGATAATCTTCACTCAGTTCTACTGATCCAAATGTTACCCACTTCCAGGGGCAGCCTCACATACATCCCCAGGAACAGCCTTCCAACAGTTACCTGGACATCCCTTAGCCCAGGTTAAACGTCACCTAAAATTAGGTATTACAAAAGAAGGCTTCAAATACACGAACATAAGCAAGCAGGCCTCAAAAGGAACCAAAGGGAGACCCCCCCAAAAAAAAACAGAATTTAAATGGTCTTCATTGAAATAAGACTTGAAATTCTCAATGAGTAGATTTGATTATGGACTGGAAAACACATATACTTCATTTTCACTTGGCTCTTTGGAAGATGGATGCCTGGGCATAGTGGTGCTCACCTGAAATCCAGCTCTTGGGAAATGGAGGTGGGAGGATTGGAAGTTCAAAGACATCCTGAGCTACACAGCAAGTTAGAGGTCAACCTGGGCTACACAAAACATTGTCTCAATAAACAGGAAGAGAGGACAGACAGAGATACACGGAGAGAGGGGGAGGGGAAGGGAGGGAGGGAGAGAGAATGCCCCTCCATGGAGGAAAGTACATTTCAGAAACAAGCATCCAGAAGAGACTACAGAAGTCATTTAATAAAAGTCACGAAATTAAACAGAGATCTCACTTTACAGAATGTTGTGACAACATGGTCTTTAATTTTGTTTTCTACTTTTGAGTTCATATCCAACTGAACAATGACATTAAAGGCTTCTGCCATCAAATTGACGAAAATTAACTATTAAGTACTGAAAGATTTATACAGCTGAAATTTTTAATGCAAACCTGCCTAAATTATTCAGCCCAATATTTAAAGAATAAAATCGATCATAGTGATCCAAACTCTCTCGAATCTTTAGTTAAATGGAAGCAAACAAACAAACAAAACTACTCATAATGATTTTCAAGATTAATTCCTCCGTTCTAACTTCTGAAAAGTGTTAAATATGTAGTCCATGTAGTTGAATTGCCTGAGATAAAATACCAAATGCCCCCACTTCTGAGATTTACTTGGGGCAAGTGAGCTTCTCCAGGCTTCCAATTTCTTTGGGCCCTCCTCCCAAAGGCTTTCTGATTCCCTTCATCCTGAAAAATTTCCCAATTCTGGGCCACCAAGTGGTGTACTATGTAAATTCCCTTACCGAAGTCTGCTTGCTCTGTTTTTCATTTCTTCTTGTATTCCAGTCTATCCCACATAACAAGTCTCCAAGATCTTTGGAGCCAATGCCTGAGTTGCTCAGTTCTGCGTTGCTGAACAGCAGGGCACTGGTGGGGGTGTAAGGACGAAAAGAAACACTAATCCTTTTCACAATAATAAAGAGGAATGAGGAGAAACAACCAAGAAACATTCATTGCTGTGTTCAGGACCTTGTTCAAACAGAACTTTTAAAAACAATGCTTTCATACACATTTTCTTTTTCTTTATATATATATTTAAATTAAATGTACCCCCTTGCTCCCTGTCAACATCATGGCTTCTTTTCTTGTGTGTGTGTGCGTGTGTGTGTGTGTGTGTGTGTGTGCGTGTGTGTGTGCGTGTGTGTGTGCGTGCGTGCGTGCGTGTGTGTGTGTGTGTACATATACATGCCTAGTTATGTAGTATAACCTGTTTGGCCCATTAGTGCTCCTTGAATTTATATGATTTCAGGGCTGACCACTTGCTAGAGGATAGCCCTAGGAAACTCGTCTTTTTTTCTTCTCACTATTTCTGGCTTTAAGATTCAGGGTCTGCTTCACGCAACCGTCTAGGGCCCCAAACCCAGCTTCATATGCAATTCCATTTAATCTTCAGAGCATTCCTTCTGTGTCCTTGTTCTAAGTTAGGGAAATTGAGGCTGAGAGAGAAGTTAAACTCAGAAAAATAATTTTTTGCTAACAAAAGTATTTAAAGTCTAGTAAGAAGATAAATTGTGTTGGTGAAAATGACTCTAATCAAGGGAGGCAGAATACATAACAAGCTCTTCTTTCCCTACCAGAGTGCACCAAACACTTGACTTGGCTTCTCACAAGACTTTCAGACTCCAGGGACTCTAGGCCAAGAAACATAA